TTCACCAGTTGTCCCTTATTAGTTGCATCAAAAACAAGGAATTCCTTTCCCCGCAACTTTTCGTATGCGGGATCAAAGCCGCACAGTCCATATCATATGTAGCAACATCGGATGCACTACTTAAAAACTTACTGGAGGTTATATAAGTAAATTGAATGATCGAGACTCATCAGCGGTCTCAACATCTTCAAGACACGAACTAAATAAAAAAGTAGAAGTGGCCTGACCAATCACTGCATAAATATTCGTGATCAATCATAGCAATTGAATGCGCTACACCAGGCCGCTTCATGTTTCAGTTGGTACGATATTCGAGATACCGCGATACATGTATAGACGTAATACACTACTCATAAGGTTGCCGAAAACTCTTCGACAGCCCACGACCGTTTTCGCCATTATTTTGCTGATTTTGTACGATTTGTGTTCAAGTAGAACGTAAATATGGTGGAACCTCGGGGGCTGCGCTTATCTGATGGGCTTCAAGAAGGGCGAACCCGGTCGTGGGCTGTCGAAGTGTTTTCGGCAACTTTACGAGTAGTGTACTACCTCAGCCCAGTTATTCTTCTGGACCGGCCATACTTTCAGTCAATGAAACAAAGGCTTTGACAAGACACTGCACATACATTTGAAAAATTCTTTGTTTTAACGACAGACTCAATCGAACTGCTATTTCTTGAAAGCGATTTCAAAATCCTCATAAGTAATATGTTATGTCAAGTCAAGACGAAGTCTTTCTTTTCGGCCAATCATGTGTCTACTCTCCAGAAATCGAAGGTCAGGGCAAAAATAACTGTGCAAATGACGGTCTCTTCCTAACCTCTGATGTTCATTCATTTTTATCGTATTAAACTGTTGTTTTAGGCATAAAGACCTGGTGCAGCAAACTGGTGTGTTGGTACAAGAAATCTACAAAAACCCAGAGTAAAAGCGGGCGTCCAAAGATACTCAGAGAACGAAGGTTGGCAGCAAAGAGGTGTTCTTTTAAACTAACGTAACCACAAACTTTAGGCATCCGCATGCTGGAGGAAGCATGACTATTCCAGTCATTCTGACAGAGGAATTTACTTGCGATTCTCGGATTACCAGTCTGATTGATCACCATTTTTAGGTTGAATAGATGTGTGACCGGGTTTTTGGATGATTGGGTTATGGATTATCACTTCTAGCTACCCAGCTGTGACCATATTTGATCAAATCTAGGTCGACTGGCCGGAAGATTGAAGAAGCATACTGATGTGAAGTAGTACTATGTATTGCATGTTGATTCACCAAGAGAGTGAAGTGAAGTGAAGTGAAGTGAAGTGAAGTGAAGTGAAGTGAAGTGAAGTGAAGTGAAGTGAAGTGAAGTGAAGTGAAGTGAAGTGAAGTGAAGTGAAGTGAAGTGAAGTGAAGTGAAGTGAAGTGAAGTGAAGTGAAGTGAAGTGAAGTGAAGTGAAGTGAAGTGAAGTGAAGTGAAGTGAAGTGAAGTGAAGTGAAGTGAAGTGAAGTGAAGTGAAGTGAAGTGAAGTGAAGTGAAGTGAAGTGAAGTGAAGTGAAGTGAAGTGAAGTGAAGTGAAGTGAAGTGAAGTGAAGTGAAGTGAAGTGAAGTGAAGTGAAGTGAAGTGAAGTGAAGTGAAGTGAAGTGAAGTGAAGTGAAGTGAAGTGAAGTGAAGTGAAGTGAAGTGAAGTGAAGTGAAGTGAAGTGAAGTGAAGTGAAGTGAAGTGAAGTGAAGTGAAGTGAAGTGAAGTGAAGTGAAGTGAAGTGAAGTGAAGTGAAGTGAAGTGAAGTGAAGTGAAGTGAAGTGAAGTGAAGTGAAGTGAAGTGAAGTGAAGTGAAGTGAAGTGAAGTGAAGTGAAGTGAAGTGAAGTGAAGTGAAGTGAAGTAATCGTTCAGCTTTAGCGCCCTTTCGGTGCTGCCATGCCATGCAACCCAAAGGAGGCACGAGGGCTGGGATACTGTCAGGTTGCCCAAGCCTAGACAGGGGAAATCGAGAGACAGAGGTTCGAACCACCACTTGAGCCATCTCGAAGTGAAGTGCAGTGAAGTGAAGGGTGAGTGAACTGCCACAAGAAACCGCTTTCAATTAACATTTAACCTGAATTGCTCATTTAAAAGCCACGTTTACCCAGTCGTCTCTACACACTAATTGATTATCCTTAGCCCGATCGATCGGTCCAGATTGATCAAGCTCCTTGTAGTAGGATACTTAGGATACTTAGCGAAAGTCAAATGAGTATCCTTGTGCTGATATGTGTCATGGATTCGGGGTAAGTGTGTGCGTCTGCAGTAAGTACCTGTTGTAGAAAAGTGTGCCCAATGACAACGATACATGGTTGTTCAAGCGGAAAACGTTAGATTTAGGACAATTTTCGTTACGATATAATGATAAAAGTGCCGAAATATCGTTACCCCACTGTGCGGAACCTGGTGTTTCAGTTTCTTTCTTCAGCATTTTGCCGGTCTTTTCGTACAGTGAAGGTGATAAAGCTATTTGTAAGATCGCCTCTCACACTTCTCACCCTGAAAACACAGGAAGTATGCCAATTTGGGTTTCTTTTGTTCCGCTTGGGATTCCTGTCCAGGTTTATATTTCTTACATTTTAAGACATAAAGGAATTTTTCAATAAGCCTGGCAGGTTTCAGCAACCTTAGGAACCTGGCGTTTCAGTTCCTTTCTTTAGCACTTTGCCGGTCTTTTCGTACAGTGAAGGTGATAAAGCTATTTGTAAGATCTCTCACACGTCTCACCCTGAAAACACAGGAAGTATGCCAATTTGGGTTTCTTTTGTTCCGCTTGGGATTCCTGTCCAGGTTTATATTTCTTACATTTTAAGACATAAAGGAATTTTTCAATAAGCCTGGCAGGTTTCAGCAACCTTAAAAGCAGTATGTTCTATCCAGCCTCAAAGAGTTTCAATAGCAATCTTAATCTTAGTACTTGGCAGTTTGATGATTTAAGGGGCTTAGCACAACTTGGGCACCCTACCTGAATGTCCAGTCATCCACAGTTTTTCGCCGTTGCATGTTATAGAATCATCCTTTGGATAGTGTCCCTCGACGAAAAAGTTAAAATATCCTCGGCTAGATACGGTCTATTTTCCCATTAGGTTCACTTACAATCTGCCAACGATAGATGAACTGCTTTACAAAGGCCTTTTTTCGACGTACCACCCTAGGGATTACTACCACAAAAACCATCATCATCATCGTCATCAATCATCATCATCATCATTTTCATCATTATCATCATCGTAGCATGACATCACAAAAAACACCACATAGATATATCTGGTTGAAGATGATAGGATTTCTAGTCACATCACTCGTGCTAGAACAATCCTTCCGTTTTGGTGCAGCTATTCTGTTTTGTATGCATCAAAACGAGCACGTACGGAACTCACGTCCCGAGCTTTCAATCAATCCCATCAGATAAACCTCCTTTTTCACAGTGCAGTCTAAAAATACTGCGTTCAGCTAGGGATGATCATTAATTATGTCCGGGAAATTTGCATGAGTATGGCTCAGCCCAACTCCATTTAGCTGGCAAGTGAAATTAGATCAGAATCACCCAAAACTTCAAGTATTCCGTACCGTGATTGCTTTGCTTCTACCAAGTACTCTGATAGATTACTGGAAGCACTCAACGGGGGAAGGTCGAATAAAGCTTGCCGACCACGAATTTACTCCATTAAGACATCCTACTCAAGTTTTCTCACTATTATTTCCAAACTAACATAATAAATTTAAGATTCATTCGAATCCGAAGCTAACTCTAGCTCGGCGCAAGGTTGACTAAATTGCTCAACACCGACGGTTATCGACAGAACGCTGCTGAATATGTGCTACTAATGAGTAGTTAAGTTTTAAGGAAGCTAATCGAAGCCCTGGATGATGTGAATCGTCCATACCTCAGGACGGTCGGGCTACTCTAGACGCACCGAAATATCTCAGATTATGCGGTGTTCCAAAGCCTAACCGATGGTCTCGAAGTACAGCAAAGACGTCAGGACCCCATCTGTAATCAGTAACATAGATGGTGGGCGGAAAGGAAAAAAATCGCACCGAAAAATTACAAAAACAGATTCAGACTGATAAGCTGAACCAGTAGTTGGTTTCTTTGAAAATACAGCTCTATTGAATCATCTAAGTCCTCCCCCCCGTGGATGGGACTCCCCGTGGTACTTTCTTCTGACTGTACTGAGTTTCCCCTTTTTCCGCTTGTTGAGTAGTTTAAAATCTAATGGGATCTTTGTGAGCTCATCAGAGTCAACCTGGTCAAACTGATTATTCACAGGTATTTTGCTTCATTTCTCGCATGACAATCTTTCCGGAAAACTTTTTACAAAAAATGCGTGCCTGAGTTTGAGGCTTTTGCGTCCTCAAATATAAACTTACGGTCTTAATTCAACCTATCCTGGCTACTTGTTAGGTTGTCACTTTAGAGGACAACCTTTGAAGCAACTGTTCTCTCTGAAGAGTCATCATGTTCTTCCATACTCATCCGCATTCACTAAATTCCAACACAATTGCTGGTGTTCTCGTTTGAAAACTCACTATTTTGGTGCATACTGCTTCACGTGACTTGATTTGGCTACCAGCTTGAACGTCACCAGTTGTATGTTCGATGAACCGCAGCATTGAATTACGACTGAATCACTGAGTGACTTTTGCCAAGTACGCTCACTTGCATACCGATTTGGACCAAACGGTAGACTCAGCTGACACACAGCGGTGTGATATTTTTCAGCCACTTCGTGTTACAGTTGTTACGAGACATCGAAGTATTTTCCTGAGAGGAAATAACCTATAAGGCTGCTGAAATCTCTTCGACCTTCAGTTCATTCAAACAAATGGTCTTTTTTACAGCACCCTTATCCAACGGAAGATGAGAAGCGTCAAATTGCAACACAGACAAACCTGACCCTACTGCAGGTTAACAACTGGTTCATCAACGCAAGACGCAGAATTCTTCAACCAATGTTAGATGCATCAAATTTCGTCCCATTGGGCAACCACTGTAGCAACGGTAGTGACGGAAACACAGAGAGTAGCAATCTCAGTATGAGCGACGGACTTGGATCTGGAGACGGGCACGTGATTAACCGAAAGAAAAAGGCTGCCACTAGCAGGTGAGTAGTTTGTGCAGTATTTGGTTTGAGCACTGTTTGTATTGTGTATTCAGTGACTAACTTTGGACGCTGTGTTCTCTCTTAGGCCATCGAACAATCGCTTCTGGCCAGCCAGTTTGGTAGCAGCGGCGGCTATTCATCCAGTAGCTGCCGGACTGGCGTCCACTGCCAGTGCGACATGCAATACCAGTAACTGTACGCCAAGTTCTTCATCCAGTATGGTGGCGTATTCGAGGGATGGAACAAACCGGTTGCACGGAAGCTCTGATGCTGCAGAAATGAAGACAAAAGAGACAATGAACCATCCAATATCTTCTAAATCCCTCGGCTCGACCATGGACCTAGGAACGCCCACACATCCCGGTCGTTACAGTTCGCCGACTAGCTTCCAAACAATCGATCGACCAAAGCTGGAACCAGACCGTGCAGCGTGGGACTACAATTCGGGTCCTCAGTTTTCACGGGAGAACCAAATATCATTTGATCCGACAAAACTGAGAAAACATTCAGCAAATTTCGTTGGAAACACTGAACAACCTACTCGATCCGGTCTGCGAAGAGTGACAATTCCAGAAGGTGATTCCATGGGCTACAGTTGTTCCTCACCTGCAAGACTACAGCTGAGCGGTGTTGGGGATATTCCTTCCTCGGAGTTGGATCTTTCCCACCGGAACTATCCATCCCAGGATGACCAATCCATGAAAGATCGTAGAGAATGCGATAGACTGTCTCTAAGTAAGTGGCAAACCATAATTCACCCTACTTTTTCAGTATATTTCTGTCGTTTCTCAAATTCCGATTTGGAAAGTTAGTTGTAGGTTTAAAATCGGTGGAAATCTACTACCAGTTGAGATTTTTGGTCTGCCAGTGAAGTAAAGCTGTGCTGAAAAGTTGAGAAACACCGTAGAGCTGCTTTAGCTCTTGTAGGAGTCCTCTCAGGAAACTCCAGGGTGATGTGAACTGTTAATCTCCCGACTAACAGATGATGTTTGACTACGGGCGGCTGACGAGCAGTGCAATTAACTCGCACTTGATCAGGATACAGGGCCGCTCATCACTGGATTCACACCAAGTGATGAGTCCAAGTGGTGATCGAGTGTTGATGGCCGAACGGTTAATTCATCGTACTACTGGTCGAGACGTGGAGGGCTCAAAACTCCCGAGTGGAGTTTTGTGAAGAGCATACTACTGATAATTTTTAGTAAGAATGAAACGGCTGCAAGGTGTTTCTCAGCTTTTCAGCGCAGAGTAGCTTCACTTACAGGACGAAATATCCCACAAAGTATACTCTGATTCCCCACTATCCGAGAAAAGAGCAAGAGCCTTCAGGCATACTGTAAAGCTCCTTTGAAGGGTCTGAAATCTTTGTGACCTTGTTTCGGGTACGCATCGACTGATGTTTGGAGTGATTTTTGAACCGTTATGGGGTTTGCCGTGGCTGACGTGCCTTTCAGCGTTTTTCTGGATTCGAACCGAACCTCACCATCTCTACTAAACTGGGTAACTGAGACCCTAGAAGGAAAGTTGAGAAAGTTGGTTATTCAGACGTGCCTGCATTTTTTGCGGTATGTTATGGCGATTTTAATCCTGGATCGGAGCTCAGTTTGCTTCACCTTCTCGGAAACGGGCATTTTTCTAGCATCGAATTTTCGAACGGTGCCCCCAAACTCCTATCAAGGTTGTGTATGAGTGTGCATGGCTGGTCCCATCTGAACTCAACCCATCTTCAAGCAGACAATCCCGATAGATGACTTTAACTTTCGAATCATTGTAGGTTCAGTGCAAATACTGCGATTTTTCGGAAAAAAAATTACTTGTACGAAAAGTCTGTCCACCTATTTGACATTCTGTTGTCCAAATGACGTTGCGTGTTGATATGTATTCATTAGCCCATCGGTCAAACAGTTGGATGAAATTCACTACTCAATTTCTGTAAATTAACTTGCAGTTATGAGCTCACTTATGCTCAACACAAATATGACAACACAAATATGAAAAAAAAACGGTTTTCCCCAGTTGCGACGTAATGTCGATTTGTATTCTATAGATTAATCCCGCCACCTCTTGAGTTATTTCGGTTGGTCTCATGACGATTAGCCATCGGAAATATCTTTTAAAAATTATCGCTTTTCTGTGTTTCTAGTCAAGACAGACTCAAGTTTTTGCTCAGCGGAGAATGCAACCGATGTGGACAGCTTAGCCATGTAGAATGGCACGCACCAAAAAATACCCAGATAGATAGTCGTATCACAAATTACACAGCGCTTGTCCGTTTGAAGTAACATGGTCTGAAACAGTCTGAACTGGGAGAGCAATCACAGGAATGGGTTATGGGTCGAACCTCACAGTGTACCAAGTCTAGATTAGTCTAGATTCCAAGCGAAGACCCAAAGTCCTTATTCAATGAAGCGGCGAAACCGAAGGATACAAATTAAGCCAACAGGGCAAGCGGAGAAGCGTCAGGAGTGTCCTTGTAGAAGAAACTGGTAGCACTAGAGTTGCATATGACATTCACAAAAAGTTTAATTCTCAATCAAGTTGTCGAAACATCACTCGGTGAGATCATCATCACCACCATTATAAGCTGTAAGAACCGAGTGCTTGTCGTACAGTAGTTATAGCTGCCACATTTTCGTTCGCCCACGATTTGGGGATGTGGAGTAGATAGCTGCGCATTGGAGGCAGTGGCTGATATAAATGGTGCGTAAAAACAGGAGTACCTTAACCGCTGGTAACCATATGTACTATTAGTTTACATACCTCTTCTAATTTCGACGGGTTTGCCACCATCATCGGACTCAGGGTACGTACCGGGTAGTACAGTGGCGCAATTTCCGTATACGACAGAAGTATTGGTAGGTGTGGCGAGAGGGTTACCGTTCCAAGTTGTTGATGAAAATGAGCTATGTAACGATATGTAACGATTTTATCTGACTGGCTGGAACAACAGCAGAAATATGTTCATGAAACAAAAGCGCTACTATTTATGTAGCGAGTGCTTTGCAATCAGTTGACTGCAATTAATGAGCTGTGTGTCCGGATGAAGTGCATTCGTCTTGGAAAACAGTGACTTTACACTGTTAGTTAATTTTCAGTAAGCCCTTTTCTATTGCACGGCATATTAGTGTTCACTTTCTTGGAAGTTATGGGTGTTACGCGAAGTAGTAATATAGCAAACTCGTGAAATTAGACCCTACATTAAAAGGGGGAGAATCGTCGTTCAGATGTAGCACCCTCTTGGTGCAAAGCTGCCATGCTAACGGAAGGATCCACCATGAGTGGGATACTTCCAGGTTGTCCAAGCCTAGACATGAGGAGTCCAGATGATGAGGTTGGGTTCAAACCGCGCACCTTTCGGCCCGTAAGCTGGTGCCTTAACCATTGAACTACCTCGGGAGAGGTGACAGCTTGCAAAGAGGTGTCCATGTTGCACCCTGAGCACAAAATATGGAAAGTTTCCCTCCAATGGATTTACAGATTCGTGAATCTGTTGGTTCACAAAAGACAACCGACCACCTTTTTCTCCTCAAGATGGTGGAAACAGAGAACCAGTGTCTACTTACTCCGTAGCAATTTTCAATTCTTCCGTCCGCAGAACTGGAAAGAGAACAAAATAGTTCAGGAATTAAAAAAGCGTTTTCTATTTCACTTTAATTACTTTGATAGAAGAGCGAGTGACCAAGAAGGGTGAAATGAGAATGACCATTACTGATGTCATCTTAATAGGCAGATAGCGGCCATGAATCTGAAGGAAGGAAGGAAGCCAAAAACGTTTTGAACAGCCATATGGTTTCACGAGGAATTTGCGCGCTGTACCAATGCTTGTTGGCTCGGCAATGTCGTTCAAAAGGTACCGCCAGCCGGAGCACGACTCACGATGACCATATGGAGCCAATTCATCCAAAGAGAGGCCACAGCAGTAGCTGTCCTAGGGAGTGAAATTTCCTAAGGGCATAATGTATTTCTCCCAACATCACAGTGCTCGCTTTCTGTAAAGTGCAAAGCTGTAGTAAAAAACTGCTATCCCCACTCCAGTGTCTTGGTGTTGGGAAAAGATTTGCCAACAGGCACACAACAGCCTCATTGCGAACAAGCGAGTGCAAAAGTTACTAGGGGCCTCACGCTATGTAAGGTGCACTTTCGACCTTGATCCACGTTGTCCGATCGGCTTTGGGTCAACACCCATTATCATCGATTGTGCTTCTATGGAATGTCTGAACACTCATCATCGCCGGCGACGATGTACCGACTGACTGACTCAGCGTCCAATCGGCAGCTGATATCTTTGGCCCAGATGTTTGACGGCTTCCTTACTACGAGTTCCAGGGGGAAGGATGAGGGTTTCAGTGGGTTCCTTCAGAAAATTTTCGAGGGTTACGTAAACCCATAGAAATCAGACGGAAAACGCTTGTCATGGACTATGTTTGAAGCTGGCCCTTTTTTCAGAAGGATCTTTGTATACATTTGTATATGTTTCTGAGGGAATAAGGTCTATTGGAAATAGCACAGAGCTTTCTCAAAAGGAGGCTGAAAGGTGTAGCACGACATTACGTAATACGCAACATAATGGTGCTAACGAATGTTTTGAATACGAATTTCACAGAAACATGCAAATACACCAATTTCACTATCATTATCTTTGTAGCCTCGAGGGATTATGCAATCAGCAATCGGGTGGAGACAATGGAATCCTCTTACAATCAATGTGAATCTCTTAGACCAATTCATGGACATCAGAACAAATCTGATGGCATCATCGATCACGCCGCTACCTATAGAGGATCTAGGAACTCCGGCTCGGGGGAAAGAAACTCACCTGGAACGGTGAAGCCTAACGACACAAAACCCAACGTTTCATTGGGTCTGCCACATAAACCATTGAAGCAGCATTCGGGGGTGACGAGTGCAACCTTGGAAATTGTATGTCCTGTGTCAAACGCCCCAGTAGCTGAGAGCTTCACAACGAACGGACGCCTTTCTCAATTTAGCGAACCTAGTCGGACTGTGTACAACTCCGGTGATAAAGAGTTGTTGAATGCAGGCACAACCATACTTCGACCACAATCTTCAAGCGCCGAAACAGAATTGACAACAGTTCAGGACTTTTCTGGAAAAATCGTCCCATCGATTTCCGGAAATTATCCTCCCGCTCTGCTTAACCATGCACAACATTATTCCCAGTATTTAGCCTCGAATATGATCGGATTATCTTGTCCTCTTTCCTCAAGTGATAATCCACCCACCCACACCTCGCTCTCTGCACAATACCCCACAGATCAAGTTCCTAATAACCCGTTGTCTAACATCTCTCAGCTGCATACATTTTACACTCCTTCATTTTCCGCCACATCCTTACTATCTCCTAATTCCAACATCGGGAGGTCGGACCCTGTTAGTTCAATCTTTGGTGGTTTGACCGAGTCTTGGAACTCAAACAACATGCCACACTTCAGTAGTTCCCAAGGAGACTCTCACGGTGGATTTCTGAATTGCCCATTACCTCCTTCGTGGAGCAGTAAATTTCGCCGTGTTGCTCAATCTAATCTTTTGAATACTGAAACAAGAGGCGAACAACAACCACAAGCCCTGACTCCACCACCGTCAGTTCCTTCACACTTGATGTACAGTGCACAGAATAGCTCCGATATTCTTTCGGTGACAAAGCCTACACGAACTTCGGAAAATGGTCCTACCGTCTATCCACAACCCCATGATTTCCCATTCTTCTCACCACAGTCAGAAAAGGATTTATCAACTTCAACGGACTACTTCCGGTTCGGTGGCGACAGACTTGATCTAAATCACCCCAAAATGAACAGCTATCCAGGTCAGTGTGATTACCAGTCAGACGGATTACCACCTGATTTCTGTTCGCCGCACAATTTAGCCAATCCCTACCTACCCACCGGTCATTCGATCGCGCCTTGATCACGTGAGTGAGTTAGCCAATCAGACTACAGCTTCTTCTGGGAATCGATGCACCAATGGAAAATGCGTGACAGTCACCTGGTTCCATCCGGAAGCTTCGAACATACATTCATCCAGTTTGACTGTCCTTATTCCAAAGAAAAATCGTTGCTTCACTACTACACAGACCTCATAAGCTGTAGGATGTGGCTACCCATTTTTCATCTAGTACTGGCGCCAACGATTGATGCGTGTTTCCAATTTTCTGGCGGCAAAAAGTTAATCAACAACATTTGTGCATCTTATCAACTGGAAACAAATAGTTCAGTTCTTCTTGTTCGGGCAACAGGGTAAATCAAAATGGCTAGTGAAAATCCTTGATCATCACATTGATCTTATATACTTATTATTCATTTTCTTGTTCATATTCGAATTCCGCATCATTATTGCTGTAGTATTATGGTTGTATGGCCATAATTGCACACATCTTCGAACTGATGAAGCACTGTCAGAGGTTCAAACCCCATTTGTCCTTCAATAATTCCCTTTCCATTTGGATTAATTCTCACTTTCATTCCTCGTCGCCAACAAATTTGAGAAGGCGAGTTATAGGGAAAGTTTAAAATATTGATTTTTTGATATACCCCTGCAACGGATGTTCCCCATGCACACAAGTGTCTCGACGTGTACATCTTACGAAAAAGATCCCAATACTCTATTTCAAAAGGAGCTGCATTCTTATCAGGTGGTCACATTGGGTCTGCACGTTTTCTTTTCAGATTCGGCTATCTCCCAAAAGGAGAAGCAAATAAAATAAATCTAATCGCCTTGAAGCATCTTACATATATCAATAAACAACAGTCAAGTCCCTGTTTACCATACAGTGTTAATGCCTCTTTAACATGGCTCATTTAGTACACCTAACATAGTCCTACCTCTTTCCGGTCGATAAGTTCGAAGTTTAAACCGCCACAGACGGTTCTTCTCCTTATGGATGACAGCTATAGTCCACTTGTCGTCAACCCTTGGGTCGAGAAACCCCGTTCAACGAGATCGTATTATTTTCTGTGGATTTTAATTAATCTTTATATGGCATCCCTGAAAAACTAACAATTACCAAGGAATATTGCTATCAAGGATCAGCACAGTACCTTTCACGGGCAATGTTGAAATGTCTCCTCTTCGAGGCAGCTTCATTCGATTAGTAGCTTGGAAATTGCTCTGTCATGAGTTTCATAGAGCACACGAGTTATTTGATGATGTCCAGAACCGGCAAAATTCTCATCCTATTCGGACAGATTCCTCTGATGATTACTTTTACTGATTTATTCTCAAGGTCAATCTGGATAGTGCTTATCAGGTCCTGTTGACGTGAGGATCACGTGATAGTTATTTTTGTGCTGACCAGAAAAAATTGACCCCCGTGGATAACCAAAAAAGGCTGTTTTGTCGTGAAAACAAACCATTAGAACCTGAAAAATTTGGAATTATAATTCGATGCTTCATCGTATCTTTTCTGATCAATACATAATTGGTATTGCAGTTGCATAACACGCCCCAAATGCAGTGATGGCAATCATCGATCTGGCAAATTTAAGCTGTCTGGTTGTTATTTGCCTTAGGTTGACCTTGAACAGTTGATTAAGGTGACTCGTCCCTCCGTTTCTATCCTCGACTGACATGAATCTGTGTAAAATCGATAATCTTTTATAATACGACTGGTAAGATCATAGAAAAAGGTTGATCTTAGGCAACGTTATACAGATTTCAGGTTTGACAAACAAATTTCTTTCTAAAATTCGTTGGAGCAAGATACTCTGCTAACACTACGCTAGTCCACAATTGTCTGGTATGAATGAGAAGTAAGGCAGTGATTAGGTGAACCTTAATCGAGTTTTCAGGGGATTGTATCCTGTCTGGTTGATTCGATAGCAATTTCATTCGGCCACTGAACAACCCTTATTCAGCTCGACTTGCCACGTCACAGAGAGACTATCCCGTAGATCGTTAGAGAAACTGAAACGCTTTTCTGAAGTTCTCGTTTATATCCCTGGGTAGGACACCCGAAGTCAACATTTACGAAAGACCGTTGACACAACCCCACTCCCAGTGTGCATACACAAACCGCACATACAAAGCGTACTAAACTCATTCCTTCAGAGTTAATCCCCGATAACCACGTTTCTCCACCTAGAATAACAAGCAAAGCCACCGATGTTGTGTGCAGCGGTAAATAAGAGTTAATCGGCCAGGTGGCTTCGTTTTTCAGGTTAGAAGGATTATACATTGATTTTTCTTATCCTGCAGCACCTGTCCGCGGTTGCGGATGTAGTTACTGCCACCCACGTCATAGAAGCATACCCCTACATTAATTACCCTCTTTTTCCTTTACTACTGACAAATTACAAGTAGACCAATACATTAATTAAAACATTGTTCATTTACCTGTCTGGTTTGATCGAGAGCTGCTCTCATTGGTACGAAGAAGGAATTAACATAACTCGTCTGATGTCTTTTTGTTTAAGGAAAATTCCGACGATAATAAGCATAATAAAAGGCTGTCAAAGAATTTCCATTTTAAATAGCGCGCTCGATCAGCCGCACTGAACTGTTGAGTGAAGTCATTTCTTGACTAGCGCACAACTATGTACATTCAAAAGTTCAACTTGTAACGGTACAAAAAGATACTTGCTTCAAATGAAATGGGTGGATAGCTACCAGCATATCGATCGTAATCCAATGAGGCCGGTTGGATATCACAATACAACGACTTGTACACACTTTCTACTGCAGCATGGGGAATTTTTCACGTTTGGGATGGAATCGAACTTTCTGACACTGGTACTGAACGACGAAATCTCGCAGGGTTTCGCTTTTCTCGCATCCTGCGGTTTTGGAACCACGTTCGAATCTGAAAACAGATGAAACATGGGTTTGAAAGTTTGGAAGATGTTCTGCTTTACAATTAAACATCTGATAAAACTTGGTGATATTGTCTTAAATATTCCTATGCACGGGGTCTGCAGCGCTGTTGAATTCACAGGGGATGAACCGATCTGGAATTTGGTATCAAAGAACATCTCGAATAAATGCCCATATAAAGTGCCATAGCATGCCACAGCCCTAGTCTTATGTTTGTTCCTGTGCGGTGTTATTTCCTGTTCGGAAATTTACTTGCACACAGATTTTCAATACCCTTTTCTTCGTCAGAACTAAACAGACATTGATGCAAAGCATGGGTGTTTGAGGAAAAAGAGACTCCGGAATCCATTGTTGTTTACTTTGAAGCCGGAATCCATTGTTGTTTACGTTGAAGCGTCCAAAAGCACAGAACAGCTGTTTCACACTTGTTGGGCGTCATCAGCGAATGCACATCTACAAATCTACCTAGGGAGGTCCGGATGAACAACACTTTGTGCGTCAGTCGCTTTGTGAGTAGCCCCATCATGCATCTTGACTTGGCAGAGGAGTATGAAGAAGCTCACGAAACGCTTGGGTGCTATCGGTGCAACTCGCCTTCCAGGATGGGGTGGTCCCCACTGCGTCTTGCTGGAAACGCTGCAAAGTATGGCTGCCAACCAATGTCAGTGGCGATCTTGTTGTCAGTTTCTATCCAGATCACCTGAGTGAATGTCTGGAGGTGTAAGCACCTCGGAATGATTGTGGTGAGCTAGCACTAAGTCCCTTCCCCGTCCGCCTTTATATGATGATGATGATGATGATGAGGATGCATCACGCACATTCAGTTTGGGACTCCCTACGCCAAGCACATGGCTATCCCGGTCTCACTTGATAAGCACCCCAGCTCAAACTACCAGTAACCGCCAGTTGCATTTGTTGTCTCAGGAATTGTCTAATACAAATACAGGTATGTGGCAATGGAAATGAATGAAATTCTGGCGACTTTGTCGAGTATAGGCATCTTGGGTGCGTTGCTTGGCTGTTCGACTTTTCGCCGAGCTTGACAGTTGGATTACAAAAGTTTCATCACCAGTCGGGATGAAATCGTCAATGACACCGTGCTGACGAGAATTAGCGTGAGAACTAAATAAACAAGGCCGAGTGAATCCCGCTACTTGCAGAACTCCATGGGACAGCTTACTCTAAATTATCGGGTTGACTAAGAACTAAATGAACAAGGCCGAGTGAATCCTGCTACTTGCAGAATTCCATGGGGCAGCTTACTCTAAATTATCGGGTTGACTAATTTTCACGCTGTGGAATAAAGGAGGTCGTACAACCACATAGTATCCCCTCCACCTCCCCATCCCGAGAAACCCATCAAACAATTACTACCCACCTGAATCCTCGGTTATTTCCACATTCTGTTCGACGCCTCCATTGCAACTCCACATTTGTTAGCTTTGCTCTAATCAATAACTAGTCATTATCAAGACTATATCGATTCGTGTAGTCAAACTGTTGTACATTGTACTAGGCAATCTATTTCAGTATGGTGAAGAAGTCAGCAATCATTTAATCAATCAATCAATCAATCAATCAATCAATCAATCAATCAATCAGTCAGTCAGTCAGTCAGTCAATCACTAATAAAACAGACTTGGAACTGAACCTTCCGATTGACTTACTCGGTCTTCTGAAAGCTGAAGCTTCTGTGATAGCATTTCTCTATCTTTAGTAGACAAGTACGGACTCCGGCGGAAAAAGTCTTCCAAACACTGCATGTGTTTTGGTTGAAAGTAAGCCCGAGCCTTGCGATACTGGCGATGCTTTTCGGTCGTACAGACGTTGGGTGAAGCGACAGGATCTGACGGTGAACTGCTGCTATGGTGGACGGATGAATGGTACCCACTTTCACTGGTCGGTTTCGACTGAATGGACTCTTGCGCAGGTTGGTAGTCGTAAAACAAAGGATGAGTGTTCATGATTTCGTTCGATGTGGCCTGATGAAGAAACGAATGACTCCACGGAAAAGGTGAGTCGGATTTCTGGCTTTGTTGGCTATCAGTGGTGAGGAAGGGAAACAACGGCATGGGGCTATTCGTCGGTGCAGGGTCATCAACACCCATGTTTCCAGTCGCCAATGTAGAGCAGAAATCAGTCTGACCGGCGTGTTGTTTCATCAGTCGGGAAAATAATTGATTTACATAGTTCAGAGTCACTTGGTAATCTGAAAAATTGACAGCACAGGGAAAACAAAGAGTAGGTCATTTCAGACAGAAAGCAGGTCAGATGTCAAGAAATTCATCGAAAATGAAAAACAAATGGCTTCTCGGACAAGTGTTTCTTTACTGAATTTCTTGGGACAAGAAGAACCAACTGGTCGGAGCGCGAATTTACTGACCGGAAGGTCCGTGGTGGTTCTGGTTGCTAGCCAGCTAGGCATCAAAAGCGTGCTACAGCTGAACGATTACTTTATTATTGCTGGACTTCCTGTGGTCTCTGTTTAACACGAGGTCTCATAAATTACTTTTTAGATACATGACTTGAAAGAAGTCACACACAATCTGTTTGGAGTGTGTTAGTATTTATTGACCTTCCCCAGCGTTCGCGCCTCCTATGATGCTTCTCGGCTCCATGAATCAGTCAGGTTCGGTTCTGTA